ACAGGGTTAAGTGACTTGCCCAGGGTCACACAGCTAGTGAGTGTTACGTGTCTGAGGCTGCATTTGAACTCAGGACCTCCTGAATCCAGGGCCAGTGGTCTATGCACTGCGTCACCAAGCTGCCCCCACACATCTGTAAAATCTTACCGAGATTTATTATTCTTATTCTGGAATGCAACACGTTTTCACCACATCCCACTACCTCTGCTTTTCACCTCTAGCTTTAGAAATAACAATCTTATCATCACTATTATTCCTGTAAAGATGTATGAACCAATTGTCCTGTGGGTTCAATTACTCACCATCCCTGAGATTACCCTGGCCAAAATGCCCTTCCCAGTTCATTGTTACCCTATGTGTGTTGACTTCCTTTATTAAAATGTAAACTCCTGGGCAGCTAGGTGGCACAGTGGATAGAGCACTGGCCCTGAAGTCAGGAGGACCTGAGTCCAAATCCGGCCTCAGACCAAACACTTGACACTTACTAGCTGTGTGATCCTTGGCAAGTCACTTAACCCCAATTGCTTGGAAAAAAAAAAAGATGATAGAAGCTCATGAGCGGTATTGACTCACAAAGCAAATGAAAAGCATGCTGAAAGCGCCAATTTAAGCAACATTATCCTGAGGGCATTTAAGGATAAAAAGGAAAGGAGGATAAGAAACAGAAGAAAATTGGAAAAGATCTGCAAAGATTTTTATAACAAACTCTTTTCACTATCAAGGAAAAGTGGAGGCGTCACACTTGGATTCTATAATCACAGCCCCAGATGTACCCAGAAGGGAAATGGAATTGGTATTGAAGAAAACAGACAAGTCTAGACTAAGAAGAGACAGAATAAGCTTATTCTGGAAGCAACACAATTTTGAGGACATCAAGGGACTGGTTTCTAAGGTAGCAGTAGGAGGGAAGATACAAATATGAAAGATGTGGGAAAATCTAGGACTTTAGTATTGCCGAAAAACAAAAAGGAATCTGAGATAACACAAAAGTCTACCAAGCCATAAGCTTAATTGTATAAGTATTAATAAATCCTTTTTGATTAAATGGGAAATGACAGTTGAACAACCAATTTACTAGTACAGGGAAAGCCGACAGCACCTATGTGATGTGTCTAACCATCTCCCAGAAGAGGGAGAGAAGGTCTGTGGTTGTGTTAAGGATAGAGAAGCTGCTGCTGAGGGCCATGATTAGGGAGGCAGTGCCTCTACATACCAGGCTGGCTCAAGGTCTCAAGAATGTACATGACACTTTGTTATCGATATGGCTACAACTTCATCAATGATAAGAACAGTTTCCCAGCTACTCAGAACTGGTGCAATTGATGTAGAAGAAGAGTATCAGAGGAAGGAAGGTTTGCTAATACAACAGCGAACAGCCTCATGGGGCTCTAAGACATCTTTCCTGGTATGGGTCATTGATGCCAAGTGAGGGGCAATCTTGAATTACTCGAGTTCTGCTGTGGGAAATCAAGACACGCCTGCTGGGGGGTGGCCAAGTGGGAAGAACCATCCCTCCTGGAAGGGAAAAGGGGCTTTGGAGCAGCCTGATGTAAGAATAGGACCAGCAGAGGCAAGCTAAAGAGACTGGGCTAGCTTATGTTACACAATGTGAGCTAGATAGCCATGAGTGTGCCAAGTACGCTGATTTTAAAATAATTTAATATTTTCTTTCCTCTCCCCTCATTACATGTAACTGAATACATTCAAGAGGAGAATTAGGCATTGAATGTCCATTAGGAACTGAGATCTATTAAAGTAGCATCATGAAATGCTTATGGGATTGGGGAGGGGGACCATCTCAGACTTCAAAGACCAAGCTGTGCTCCAACTACTAATCTTGAGTCTTTTCTATCTGGACTCACAGGACTCAACAGTGTCTATGAAGGCTGATGATATAGTCTCCTTCTGTGTTGACTAGCTCATCCCAGTGAGAATTGTATTCTAGTTATTCTATGATAGATATGCAAGAGATGCCTCATCAGTGGCATATTATTTGGGGGGGGGTTGGGCCTGAATGGGATGGGTATGAAGATGGGCTATATACAGGGGAGTTTGAAGTTCCTTAAGGAGGATGGATGTGGGTGTCGTTAGGACATGACTCTGTTATATTCAGACCCAGTGAACATCCCCGGTATAAACCGAGACCAGACAACCATGGACTGGTAGGTTAGAGCAGAGATTCCTCTCATGTATGGGGTGGACCAGGTGGCTGCTAAGATTCCTTCCAACTCTGAATTCTGTATTTCGGTATCAGGATTGACTGGGACCAACTCCAGTTTTGGCGAAGTATTAGGAGAAAACCGCCATTATCAAGTTAGGGCTCAAAGCTGACAATTCACACCTCCTGTCGGAAGATCAAAGAAAGATAGAAGCCAGTGATGATGGCGAATATTGAAGGAGCACTGGCTTCTCCACTATGACAGTGGAGCCAGTGGAGTGGAGGTGGCTCTAGTGCCTGAAGAATGGAAGGACCGTTGGAGGAAGAAGCTCCTTGTCAATGCTGGCACAATATCAGAGCCTGGGTGAGGTGGGTGGGGTACCCAAAGGGCAATGTCCAACTTAGGCTCTGCTTCAATAGCTCCAAACCTTGGCAAGACTGACCTCAGAAGAATGCCTTCTTGGGTATGGAGGAGCTGAAATCAGACCAACTGAGAGAAGTCTGAGGTGGCAGCACCTTCCAAGAGTACCATGGTCTGCATGCTCAAAGAGGGTATAATGGGAAGAGCTTGGGAAGAGCCAGACTGGGTTAACTATTGGGCAC